TTGACAGTGGGGATGGTGTGTTCAGAGTGATGTGCAGTGTTAGTTTTCCGAGCTAAAACTCAGCGGAGATTTCAGCTGTGTGCCGGTGATTGGACATCAGCCGCTGATAAAGTGGGTTCACCTACAAAGTGCTCTGTAGGGAAACAAGCTCCAGCAGCTCTGCGCTCAGGAAACAAAGTATATTTACTTATCTTGTGCAGAATAATGCGCCGGCATTGAGTTATATCGAGCACCGGCTCCAGTTAAACTGTGACTATCACCAGGAAACGTGGGCGTGTTTCTTGAATTAGCAGAAGGTGTTAAACAGCTGACAGGTGAGCAGGGTGTATGCAGGTAACTCGAGGGCCCGTTGAGCTGATCGCTGGTGTCCTGAGGAAAATGTCAGCTCGTTATTTAACACAGAGACACAGCCAAAATCATCTAAGCCTTAGATGATTAAAAAGTTTTTTTTAAACCTAAGAACAAGAAATGGCAGATTCCCCAAAACTGCTGTAAAAAAACTATGTAATAATGTTTTTTTCCACTTTAAATCACTCAGTCTTTTAAAAATACTTCAGCCTGAACAGTATATATTAAATATTAATTACAGTTTGGGGATTTTAACCCTTTAAAGGCCAGTATGTTTACATATCTCCATTGATTTTTATTGAATCCCCCCAGCCAAACAAAAACAATTTCCATAAAAAACATTTCAAGATGCATTTGATCATTGTTTTTATTAGGTCCTGAGATGGGCCAATGATTAGCAGCGACATTCATTTTCATGCATTTCTATTTTTTCTGCAGTGTCAGATTTTTGTTTTACAAAAACCGATACTCCAGGTCCTAACAACAAAAAATGCCACCTTCCCAAAAACTATTATATAGTAATAATTTTTTTCCACTGACACAGTCTTTTAAAACTACTTCAGCCTGAATTATACGTTTAAAATATTAATTACAGATTTTGGATTATAACCCTTTATAGAAAAATTTTAAATTTAAAAGAAATTCTCTGGCAAATATGGGATATATTCATTTAGCACAGCCAAATAGCATGAAATGGTTTCCCAATGTTGTCCCGATTCATTGTTTCATTCATTTTTTGCAAAATTTGCAGACATTGAAGCAGCAAACCACCAGCTTTGGCATCCGCTCTTTATTTTAAGGATGAGGACAAAGGCATGTCCTCTCTGTCATCACACAAGCCAGATTCACCTGACCAGTCTGGTAATCCATCTAAAAGTGGTGGTCCACAGGATGCCGATAAAAGCAGCCTTCGAACAGGTACAGATGGCACCTCAAAGTCTATCAGTGTCACCACCTGACTTACATGAAAGTCAAGTAAATACAAAAAGGAAGCAGACTGAATCAGGGCATCTTTGGAAACATCACTCCAAATCGCAGTCCTCCACCTGCAGAGCTACAGCGAACAAACAGAACAAGAGGAGGCAGGAAAAGGCAAGCAGAGGTCATAAACCGGTGGAAATTAAACCTATTAGCTCCCCAAGAGGTTTTGACTTGTACCACGGGGCGGAGCTGTTTTATTTTAACAACAAGAGTCAGTCGAAGCCAGCCGACAACTTCTTTTTTGAGTAGTGTATATATTCAATTGCGGGCGCCTTTCTGTCGCACTACAGCAAACTGAAACCGTCCCACGTCCCTCCACTGGAGGCGCTGTGGTGCTGCTGCAGCAGCAACACGAGCATCAAAATTCAAGTGTCGGCTCTGTCTATGATGTTAACAGTCAGATCGTAATGGCGACTGCTGGAACAGCAGACATGGGATCAGCAGCCCCGACAGGTATCTAGCGATCAAATCTCATTCCTTCCGCGTCTCAAAACTAGCGTAAAAAGCTATATCTACAGTGTTTTAAAGCATTGAAAATGATGCAACGCTGGAGCTCTGGCTGTAATTGAGCCTTCGTTAGCCGTTAGCTAATTAGCATCGAGGTTTTCCACCAAAGAAATGAACCAATCTGTGGTTCGCTTGTTTAGCTGGCTCTTTAATAAATCCTGGTGTTCTCGTGTTAAAACACAAGAAGATTTTGTGTGCAGGCCACTTGTAAATATGAGGAACAATCTATTGATTTTATAGCGCGCTATAAAGTAATTCCCGACACCACGTTGACCAAACTGTTTTGTTATCAAGCCGGCTGTCCTGTTGACGCTTTATGGTGTTTACACGCAAACGAAGCAGGTGAAGGCGAGTTGAGATTTTATAAATAAAGATCGCCGTTGCTTGGTAAATGAATGGGACGTGTGTAATACTCCGGGTGTTAAAAAAAAAACCCCTCCCCAAAAAAATCAAGCATCTATGGGAAGTTAACGGTAACTGCTCTCACTCACGTCTTCCTCGCCTGTTACATCCCGTTTCCTCTTCCTCTGAACGTTTTGTGATGTACATGGATAAAAGAAATCCGCTTTCACTTACTTAAAGGCTTCATTAAACACCTCCGAACTGTTACTGTACAAATATTTTCAGTTTAGGTGGTGTATTGTCTGTGTATTGATTTTCTGCATTCCTTTGTCACGCTTATCTAAGTCAATAAAGCAGCCTTAATTTATTTAACCACCTTTGTTTAGGATCACCGATATCAGACCTGTGCACTGCACATGAACTGGTTCCACTTGCTTCACAGATATAGATTGATCATGTGCTTTCAGAGACTTCTTTTTCCCCAAGATAATGCACGCAATGGGGAACATGCATCTCTCTAATCCAGTTAGTTGTGCATCACTCATTAGCTTCCCTGTATATGTTGGAGTTGCGCTGCTCCTGGTAACCACCCAGTCTGAATCAGTGAATAAAAATAGTTGCTTTTTAAAGCGCTCCTGTGGCTCCCAGATGGCTGAAATCCAGGGACAGCACAAGCACAAGATGTAGCATTCACGCTCACAGACACTTGAGTGACAGTAACTCACTGTGGTTTCCCTAATAGCTTTTATCAGCGTCGTTTCCAAATCAGGTCAAGAAACAGTATATTTGTGGACTCTTCAGAAATGACCTTAAAGAGTGTGTCCATGGTTCATGGTATTGCCGTGCAGGCTGTGGGCTGTGTGTAAACAAGGCTGGCAGGGACTTGTTTGGTACACAGAGAGGAACAGATGGTTTGCCTATTGTAGTGAGGCCTGCCGCTGATGAGCTAAAGTCATTGTTAGGGAACTGACTTAGTCTAATTACCATCCATAGTCTGCTGCACAATATATGCCATTAACTGGTTGTATATTGGCCTTAATAAATACAGATGGTAGTAATAATAACAATCATAGCTAAAACCGGGCCATCTGGGGTTACTACACATGCAAGTACGCATGATCCAAATTTAGTAACAGTCTGTGTTATCTACCTTGAACAAAATTGTCCATTTCTAAGTTATTTTTGGCCTTTTTTAAACAATATTCTATTTTACATGTTGAGCACATTTAATCATGTTTGTTTTGTAAACGGTCCTGATGGTTTTCCTTTTACAATCAAAGAAAAGTAGCAGTTGCTTAACTGACGTAATTATTTAGGCCATGCTTCCTTTACTTCTGTGCACACCTACTTTAAATGAGTTTAGTGTGGCGCATGTACTCGGTTAAGCCAGTTAGCCTGACCTTGTCCTGCTCCGCAGATATCAGGACTCAGTTCTGGAGGAGAGCGTTGCAGCGAGGTATTCGCATGGGTGTGCTGTGTTTGTGACTGTGAGCAGCAACTGCATGAGTAGTGATGATATAGTGTGTTGTTTTACATAATGAGAGGGAATGTGGGCAGAGCGATGCTCATTGTTTCCCAGCAGATTGCAGTGTGTCCCTGCTAACTCAGGAGAGATGCATGGCATTCAGTGAGTCTGTGTAATTATACATACTCCTGCATTTCTTTGGTTGAAAATGTTCATTTTCTGTGCATTGCCAGGTTTAGATTTGATGGGCGTAGAAAGACAAATTTTCAGACTCACACTTGTTACTACAGGTGTAAAATCTAGTAGCCTTCAGTCTTTTTTGTGTGTATATTGACCTATGGTACTGCAGTGGAGGAGATGTTGCCATTGGTTACAGGCTAGAGGTGATTGCAGAGTGGGCGATGTAGTAAGTGTATACACCAAGTTTATATAAGGACAGGACACAGGAACTCATTCGCTGTATTTATTTTGTTGCACTTGAGTGCCTTTCTTACCAAACATCTGTATGCTGGGGTTTAATGACTTATCTTTGTTTAGCAATTAAGCAAAGGTCTTGGCTTGGTGCTTGCATTATTATTTTACAGGCATACAAACAGAAGCTGTTGTGTTTGGGGTTTCATGCAGGCATGAAAACCCTCCAGTGTTCCTTCATATCGCCATGCTGCATTAGCTTGTCACATGGTGAAATAAACATTGAATTACACAGAATTGAACAGAATATCAGTCTCATAGATCTCTAGTCGGATAACAGAGTTTACTAAATGGCCTAATTTAAAGGGGACCTGTTACCTCATTTCCTGCTTCATATTTCATTCTTGGGCTACAAGAGTAGCTTTGCATGATTCACTGTTCAAAAACAAATCCCTATTTATCTTATACCAGGCCTTTGTGCAGCCCCTCAGTCCATCACCGTTCGAAACAAAGCATTTAAAGAGTTGTTAGGTTGCCGTTAGGAAACATCTGAGCATTCATGAGCATGCTGGAGTGGATCTCAGTTATAAAATCAAAGTTAGTTTGAGGCTTAAAGTAGGCTGGGACAGCAACAGCTAGAAATTGCACCATTTTTTGAAAGGAGGTGGTGATGTTGATACACATCCTGGGGGAACAGATGAATGTGGAGCAGCTAGCTCATGGGAGAAGTAGTTCCAGTTCACATACTGGGTGCAGCCGGTAGTAACTGTGGCCACATTTAGGTTTGGGTTCATCATCGGTCTTATAGTCATCCGCCAGTGCTGGAAATAGCCTAATTAACCAGCACAGGGATTCATAAACAGTCCCTAACAAATTCGTCATTGGTCAAAGCCTTTCCAACTCAAACCCTTCAAATTTATTTCAAGCCTTGACTTTGAGTACTGACTGCATGGGTTGGGTTTCAGAGTCTCAACAAAGGAACTATACAGAGTTCTTACTCTATGTAGGATTTTCCTTGCAGGTTTTCGAGCACTTATCTTCCTCTCAATTTAACTTTTTCTGTTTTCTTTTTAGGGACCAGCAGCATTCGAAAAATGGCCCCCGCCGAGGTAACTGTGGCAGATACTGTAAATGTAACTACTCTCAGCTCTAAGGGGAAAAGGAGAGCAGAGCAGGCTTATAGGGCTGAACTTTTTTTCATCCAGACATTTGCAGCTTGAGGCATCGGTCACTAAAAGTTTATTATGGAAGTGAGAGAGTGGCTCTTGTAACGCAGGAGAGCCACATTGTTGTTCCACAAAGCTCTACATAGATTAATGTTTATAAGTTTTCTTACTTTGAAATATGAATAGTTACTCATAATAATACTGTAGGTTCAGAAACAATTCTGACATTTTTTTAGCGCCAATATCAATAAAAGGAGGAAGTGCAGAGGTAGTTTTTTGGTCAGGAATAGTAACATCAGGCTGATTGCTGTTTCATTAGTTTCCTGCCTTACAATTTGACCTTCCTCTGCAAGTTCAGTTACTTGTGAGCTCAGTTGATCGCTTGGTTAAGGTTGTCATGTGAAGCTGTTTATCCATCTGGCCTAAAGCTTGCATACTACAACAGCTAGCTCATTGTTTTCTGCGTTTACCAGCACAAACACACATCAAACTGTGTTTGATTTTCCTTTGACAGCTTTCTGCCTCTCTCCTCAGATGCCCGGCTCTTCAGGCATGAGTATGAAGAAGACCATTGGACACCGGGGCGTTGAGACTACCACAGGAGAAACTACTTACAAAAAAGTAAGGGCAGGGGTCGGGGTCAGTGACAACAGTGATTTGTTGACACCCGCAGCACTGAGCCGGAGGAGTTTACATCCAAGGTGTTTACAGTTCAGTGGGTTGGCCTGCATGTTTTGGTGTCTGTATTCTAAAATTAGTTTGGAAGTTCCTCTTGCTGGAAACCCAAGAATAGTGAGTGAAACAGCAGAAGTCACAGGGGTAAAATGCTGTTTGTTCCAGTGCTTACTCTCTTTTCCTCGCTGACCTCCCTAGACTACGTCATCTGCCCTAAAGGGAGCAATCCAATTGGGCATCGCTCACACAGTCGGCAGCTTAAGTCAAAAGGCGGAGAGGGATGTTCTCATGCAGGACTTTGTAGTTGTTGAAAGCATCTTCTTCCCGAGGTTTGTGATATGAGTTGTTTGAATGCATGAGGTGAACGGTTATTTTTCCATTTTGCATAGTTTAATGGTTTATCTGTTTCTTGCTTTTTCCAGCGAAGGCAGTAACCTGACCCCTGCTCATCACTACAGTGACTTTCGCTTTAAGACCTATGCTCCTATCGCCTTTCGTTACTTCAGGGAACTGTTTGGCATTCGGCCAGATGACTACCTGGTCAGTATTAACCCCAAGGCTTATTCTGCCATGTTCACCACAGCTGTGTGTGAATCTCTACATGCTGCATATATATTCAGTGGTTTAAGCAAACATGATCCCCTTTTGGAGAAATAATCAACAATAGCTGAAGGTTTTCTCCTTTTTTTTTTCTTCTCAAAAATGATGATGCTTTTGTCTGCATCATCACCACATTTGCTGACACAGTGGGCATGGAGCTGCGCCATCTCAGACAGAATGATAAGCCGTGGTCCAAGTGCTTTTTGGCTCTGTTTTATTTTCCTCCTGACGCTTTCTCTGCTGTCTGTTTTTACAGTCAGCACTAGAAATGCTGATAATCATGTCTCTGTAGTTTAAATCGATCAATTGTGCAATCAGGAGCCAGTGACTCATATATCTTACGTCAGAAACACAACATCTGTTTTGTTTTTTTTGCATTTCATATTAATGCGTTTTCATCTGTCTCTTTCTGGAAGTATTCTCTGTGTAATGAGCCGCTGATCGAGCTGTCGAACCCCGGAGCCAGCGGTTCCCTCTTCTACGTCTCCAGTGATGATGAGTTTATCATCAAGACTGTCCAACACAAAGAGGCAGAGTTTCTCCAGAAACTGCTGCCTGGATACTTCATGGTGAGTCTGGATAGAGTGGGAGGTAGGAGTTTGTTTAGAATGAGTGACTATTACTGCAACAATTCTCAGGTAAGGGGAGTTTTTTCTACTAATTTCAGTGTCTAATTTTGTTTTTGTCTGTTCTCTCTCCCTTTCAGAATATAAACCAAAACAAGCGCACCCTGCTGCCTAAGTTTTATGGACTGTATTGCGTTCAGGCAGGCGGTAAGAATATCCGTATTGTTGTGATGAACAATCTCCTGCCCAGAATCATCCCCATGCACCTCAAGTATGACCTGAAAGGCTCCACCTATAAGAGACGGGCTTCCCCTAAGGAGAGAGAGAAGGCCGTCCCCACTCACAAAGACCTGGACTTCATCCAGGACATGCCTGATGGCCTGCTGCTGGAAGCAGAAAACTACAATGCTCTGTGCAAGACTATACAGAGGGACTGCCTGGTGAGTTACAGAGATGTGGTCGTTTTGTATAGATTGTTTATTGAAGTACTGAGCACTAAAGTGTATGGAGAATGGCTTGGCAAGCTCAAATAGTACACCACCACTTTATATTGTTGTTATCCTCTTGCATAAAAGATACAAAAAATGATATTTCTCTACATACAGCATAAATGTGAAGAAATATCAAAGACTTTTTAGATTCATTTAGTTATTTTAGGCTATTTTTATAATGAAAAGTCCTTACATTGTAAATGGCCTGCAGATGGCTTGACAGATTGTACAGCACATGTAATGTCGCACTGGCACTTCATTAAACTTTACATTTTACAGAGACTACTATAATTTCCAATTTCTCCAAAGTCGATTAGTGGTTGTTGACAGTTGGCATTGGTTGTTGTTTGCTGTCAAGCTCCAGGATCATCAACAGACAAGTGTGTAGTGCTGGAAAGATGACTCAAGCTTGCATGACACTGCAAACTAATATCTTATTTACTGTGAGGGATGGTATCTTTTGAAATGATGGGAGTAGACTGGTGCCAGTCTGCACAGAATACCAGAATGTTCTGTATCATTTTTCCTTTTAATCAGCAGCTGCACATGGTTTATTGATTCGATCCATTTCCATTACCTCATTGTTCCGGGGTTTTCAGCCACCAGAGGTTCTGGCTTTCCATCAAAGAAAAATCATTAAGACTGTCATTTGTATTTTTGTTTGTTTGTTTTTTGCTTTTTTGATTTGGGTGTGTTATTTAGTTAAGTTTAAAATAGATTTTCTGATCAGATTACTTTTTTGTTGTGTCATGTAAAGCAGATTATTTGAGTTATATCTTTTCACCAAATGACTGTGGCTAACATCTAAATATTTGAATGCAGTTTGAAAGTAAATCACAAATCCCAACTCAAAAGACTTTTAAGGATTCCAAAATAATTAAAAAAAAAATTTTATGTAAGAAATTACCTCTTGTGGTCCATACTTTGGAAATAACTGTATTAGAGGGTTACCTAGGCAACTGGAGCCTTGAAAAATCTCTTTGATCCCTGTGTAGATGGGATGTATTTCAACTTTGGGCTCAAACTTTGTTTCCAGGATCAAGATTAAATCAGAATCAGTCAATCAAATCAAAATTACAAATATTTTTGTTCTTAACTGTTGCTGGATTGAACACTTAGACCTGTTTTGTCATATTTTAAAACCCTGCTGCTGTAGCATAAGGAAACAGCAGCAGGGTTTTTAAATGAGCATAATATATATGACAGCATGTCACATTTATTATTGTACACTCGTATCATGTTTTATTGTAGTGTTGCCAAAGTCTTTGGCGCCTGTTGTGAAACAGTGTGTCTTTACGTTGATTTACAGTTGGTTGTTCCAGTCGTTGCCAGCCGATTCTCATTGCACTTGTTTCTTTGTTGCAGCTCCTGCAGAGTTTCAAGATCATGGATTACAGTCTGTTGATGGGCATCCATAACATGGACCAGGCCAGCAGAGAAAAGGAGCGTAGTGGAGGCAGTTTGGTCGACAATACGGGGTCCGAAGGAGCAGTGACCCCAGATCAGCGCCGACCACAAGCCCAGAAAAGTCTGTATTGCACCGCCATGGAGTCCATCCAGGGGGAGGCTCGAGGGAAGGGAGCTTTGGATTCAGAAGATCAGTGAGTGTGATCATCAGCACACCTGTGTCAGCCTGTATTTGCTTGCTGGGGAAATTGTAGCTGTGAAATAATGGTGAATGAAGCAGTGTGTTCTTTCTGTGACCTTGCAGCATGGGTGGTATTCCTGCTCGCAATAGCAAAGGAGAGAGGTTGCTGATTTACATCGGCATCATCGATATTCTCCAATCTTACAGGTATGTGTGTCAGAGCAGCAGAATCCACTCTTTATATATGCATTTGATGCTAATTCATAAGCAAGATTCACGCCACTTATGTGAGTTGCACTAAATTGTTTCATTATGTGATATTATTTAGGTTTATTAAGAAGTTGGAGCACTCCTGGAAGGCGCTGGTCCATGATGGGGTAAGTCGTACACTATACATCACAATGTGTATTAATAGACTTTGATTGTAATTGTAGCTTCCATATTAACTGATTAGCTTGGACTACAAAGAATTATGACTGCTTTTTTTTTTCACTTTTAAGAGTTGGTGAATTAAAACAGAAATGCTGCTTTATAAGGTCTGTTAGGTTTTAATGATCCTTTTCCTGTTACTTAGGACACAGTTTCAGTTCACAGACCTGGCTTCTATGCAGAGCGCTTCCAACAATTCATGTGCAACACAGTGTTCAAGAAAATTCCACGTATGTCTGTCTTTTTAATTTTACTGCATTGAGAACAGAGGTGTGAAAAGTCCTGATGATTGCACTGATCATTTCCTGTTGTCCTCTTCAGTTAAACCATCACCATCCAAGAAAAGCCGTGGTGGAGGTCAGGCAGGGCTTAGGAGGGCGCCCACTCTTGGAGCACCCACACCGCTCTCCCACGCGACAGGACAGTCATCTGTGGATTCCAGACTAGTTTACCACTCCCATTTTAAAAGCACAGAGTCCGAGGCGGACAGCGGTAAGAGCCAAGAAGATGAGGTCACATTAAGTAGATCTGTGGTTAAGTGGAGTGGTCACTGATGTGGGAACAAGTTCAGGCCCCAAATTTTTATCAAGCATTAAAAATGAAAGTGGTGGGGAAAAAAGTGAGATAAAGGTCAGCAGATAGCATCAGCAAACTACACATTGTAGTGATACTCAGTGACATTTGAATCACTAAAATTATGTTTCAGATGTCACTGAAATGTTTGGCGCTTTGTGTCATCTGATGTCACACACAGACATGTGCAAAGTCAGACCTGTTAGTTGTAGTTAACGTGAGCAGTGAGAGTCCATGTGTCTGTGCAGAATGTGACTGAGCCAATGTACAGTCACAGAGTCCTGCAGAAGCACACAGCTGTCGTGTGCTTACTTTTCACCTGATTACAACTTCCCATCATAGAAGGCAAAAGAAAGGCAGTGCGCAGCGTCAGCCTTGAAAAGACTAGTCAACTAGTTGCGCTCATCCCTATACTGTATCTGCAGCAGCTCCTTGCATTCCCAACAGGCTTAATTTTATTCTAAACTGCACTCAGCTTTGGATAAGATTGTTAAACTCTCTGTAATCGCCATATTAATATCTTTTTTTTCCTCAGGTGTGCAGTCAGGAAGGCCGGATCTGGTTCCTAGGACTCCTCCGCTGGTAGACAACCCTGCAGACTGCGAGGCCAATCTGTCCACCTCATCACAAGGCAGCACAGGAGTTGTCTCCACCTCTCCTCCCCTGCGGTAAAACCTCTCATCTTCCTTCTCGTGCTCACGCTGTGTTTTTTCATCTCTTCTGGTCTGACTCTGACTTTCCTCTGCAGTTCTGTAGGCGTGGAAGTGCACAAATCGGCAAACACGGACTGTGACCAGGCTGTTTCCCACAGGTACAGAGTACAGCCAATGATAAGTCTGTTTAAAAAAACAAAATCAATAAATATGTTTGTTTTTTTTAACTCCTTATGTTAGTCATTGTGTCTCATTGATTGCTTTTTCCGCTTTGCAGTTTGGGAGTAGAAGGGGCTGCAGATAATTCAGGCAACCTGTCTGGAAATGAAGATGTAGTTTCTCTGTCGGACATCGTCCCTGAGACCAACATCTGTTTTGTAAGTGTGTTCATTCGCTAGTGTTTATGCATGGTGTCAGAAATACAAAACAATCTGAATTACATTTTTTCTTTGCAGTAAAAACACTCCCAGCAATGAGAGACTTCTGGAAACGGCGAGGTGGGTAGAAGAAAGGCAAAATGAACTGGAGTCAGTCATCCACCGCAGACCCTCCATCGCTCCTCTGCTGTTTTGTGACCTCTGCAGTTTATACAGTAGCCACCGAATAAAACAGCATGGTTTGCGACCGTGAGGAAAGCAGTGATTTGGACCATGTTGTGCGGTAGGCTCCAGACTTCCCCAGCCATCAGCACTGTCACTGTGTGTACATATTTGTCCACACCGATCCAAAACTGTCCGATACACACTCAGAAAAAGGCTTTCGGCCCTGAATTGAAGATTTCCCTTCATGTCCGTCTGCAGCAATGATATAGTAAACAATATAATGAGTTGTATATTGTATTGAAAGAGAAATAACAAAAAAAAGAGGTCATCTTCACTATCACCAGTTGATTGTGGAAGGCAGTCAAATTATCCCTTGAAGAGCCAGTCATCCTGCCCACTATCCACAGCATGAGGAGATGTGGGTAGGAGTGGGCAGGGACGGTTCAGCAGGAACACACACACAAAAGCACATGAAGGGCATAGCCTACATAGGAGGAATGAATGTTACTGTGCGTTCGTGCACAGTCTAGGTGGGTTCACATTTCCGTGACTCCCACTCCGGCGTACCTGTTATTGCACATCCATCTCCCCTCAGCACTCTAAGCTATCCATGGCTCTCTCACCGCCATCGATAGAAATCCTTCAAATCAACACCTGCTGCTGTCGACTCTGTAGTCGTGTTTGCGTTTTTCTTTACTGATTGTACAGTATTCATTTAAAACAGCAGAGCGATGGGGTTTTAACCTGACCTATATGGTCATTTTTTTCTTATAAGTTATTTTTCTGGAAGCCTCAGTGGTGCCACATAGATCTCCCCACTGCTGAATGTACATTGTAGTGTTTTTCCGCATAAAAAAAAAAGTGTCTTATTTAGGGATGGGTATTGATAAGATTTTCACGATTCCGATTCCAGTTTAGATTCTGTTTAACAATTCGATTGTTTATCGATTCTCTTATCGATTCTTTTTTTTAAAAAAGGAGAACACGAAGATCGATTAGCTTAGAACTTTGTTTTATATCTTCTCTTTGAACAAGATAGAAATTTAGGAGTAACATGGCCTTACAAACCCAGCAGTGGGATCTTAAGAGATCCACAGCCTACGGCTCTTCCATGGGGTGTCACAGGGTCCCCAGGAAAAGAAATTTAAAATTTAAAATAATAAAATAAATATTCTTCTGTAGCAATAACAAAGTATAACATAAATTATTCTGTAGCAATTACACAAGAATATCCAGTAATGTCCCTGCCTACAATTAAACACATTCACTTACCGAAAATCGGGGCATCTGCTGTGTCTTTGACCACAAACTTAGTCACTGCTCGGTGATGTTCGTCTATCCTGGCCTGAAATGAGACGCTACCGGTAGACTGCAGCGAGAACTGCCAGCGAGTGCCAGCCAGACTCTGTCTCTCTCCTCATGGTCACCTAAATGCACGGTTTTGTAATAAGGCAGATCGCGCTAACATAATATGCACTGTTAATGCACTCTGCCGCATTAACGGGAGACCGCTGCTGCTGGGTTGAGATTCACGAGTCCGGAGCGGAATTAAAAACACAACATTCATTTAAGGTCATCGCGTGTTTTGTGAGCAAATGCTTTTGCATATTCGTAGTGTTTCCTCCCTTAAATGAAATATCTACTTTGCAAGTATTGCAAGTTGCCCTGTAGTCATCCGTTCTCGTAAAGTATAACCAAACTTTTGAGCGTTTGAGCCGCCATGTTTCCTGCTCCGCAACGTGGTGACGTCATTCGGGGCGACTGGAATCGATAAGGGAATCGTTTGCAAAAAAGGCAAACAATTCCAAGGAATTGAAACAGTGGGAACCAGTTCTCAACAAGAACCGGGTTTCGATACCCATCCCTAGTCTTATTACCATGGCAGATCACATTTATACTAACCTGAACATCTCCCCTCTCTGTTTATGGCCGTATGTGCTGAAGTATAAGTGTAACAGCATTGCTAACCAGTAGATGCTGTTGAATTTAATTTAAAGTTGCCGTGCGTCATGTCTGTGCCTTTCCGTGTTTGTCCCCTTCCCTTACATGCGATGAAAACTGACACTTTTTACAGGTGAGTGCACTGGTTACATAGAAACCTGCCTTATCACTACAGCTGAAGTCCTCAAACTGCCATTTATACGTCCCGACCAACCAGTGAGTCAGTTTTCAGACTTTCAGTTTTAAACTCTATTACAATCTCCTTTTTTTTGGTTACGTCAGGTATTCGGTCACTGCGGTTTTTCATCTCAGCCAATCACATTGCTCCCTGTCACATCATACATTGAAGGATATACCGGCCTCCTCATTTCTGCTGGTTACAGAAATGACACTCGCTCACGTCCAATCAGACCAATATTGTTAACGATAAGTAATTATTGTATTGTGTTTTTATGAAGTCTTGCTCAGCTTCAATGTGGCTGTGTTTATTCTACCTAAGTGATTTTTTTTTCTAACCCCAAGAGATATTTCTGATAGAGAAATCACTACAAAGTGACTGAAGGAAAACTTGAGACATCTCATTTAAAGAATCGTTATTTATGTTTGTTGAGCACATGTGGTCTATGCAGCAGAGAGGCTTGGGAAGAAATATGAGCTATGAATAGAGAAAGAAGGAAAATTACTCATGTTCATCAATGCACAGCTGACGATTTAAGTCTTTTTGTATTATAAGCAAGTCACCAAAGAGAAGAGCAGAGTAGACTGAAGATTTAGTGCAGTTAACGTGAGGCTGAGGGCGAGGGCTTTAGATTACTGCATGGACTGATGGTTTCTGTATGGTAATAACACTGGGCTGACCTGTGTTTAAGGATTTATTGTTAAACTGGATGTATTTTGTTTTTCCTGACGTTGAAAGTTTTATCTGATGTAAAAACCAGAGCCTAATAACATTTCTTTGTCAATTATTTCTTCATTTCAAGATTTATCTCCACATTCCTGCGAAATTCATTCATTTGTGGTAGCGTTTAGAACCTTTTAGTTGTACTTGAAATGAAATAGTTCTGGTAGTTTGCTGAAATGTAAACTAATCACAGTTATAATACAAAAATGAAATGCCACAGCCAACAGAGTAAACACTCTGACAGTGTCTTCAGATCAGAACGAGTCCGGGTTTGATTTTGTGAGAGCTGCATTTTGATGTTTTTATGTGATGACTTCTTTAAATTGGTTGCACTGGTTAATTGCTGGCTGCACACCAGTTTTGCTGGAGTAATGTACTACACCGTGACAAAAGGAAAAACCTCTTTTGGTGCTTCTAAGGCAGTACACTCAGTAGTAGACACTACAATGAATTTGAAGTAATGCAATATGAACCATAATCTGCCACTTTTCAGCTCTAAGAAGCATATTTATTGATACGACTGATTGCTGTAGGTTGAAGTGATGTGTTATGTACCTTTTTAGATGATTGTAAGTAAAGTGTATACTGACAGAAGGATGTCTGAAACTTTATAGCATGTGTTGCCTATAAAGGGAGACTGTTTGACAATTTAACTTTTTATATTTCATGTTTGGATTGTGATACGATAGATATATTCTCTCCATGATGATTTTCTCCATGCTTTTTTTCTACATGAATGTGTTATACGGCTCCTGAGCCTCCGTTGCTGGTTGTCCTATATGCTTCGATTACTATATTTTTACTGTGTACAAAATGTGTATATGTACATATGAGTCACGGAAATGCCTTCTCATGCGATATGTGCTGCCTGTCCCTCCGGCCATGTTTCAGTTATGTGGTGGTGGTGGTGGTGATGTTTTCATGTCTGATTTTAAATGAATAAACACATTTTGTAAGTCTTCATTTTGGTTGGTTGTTGTTGTTGTTGTTGTTGTTTTTAAATCTGAGCATCGCAGTGAATGCTGCAGTTACTAAAATTGATTTCCTGTTTTGCACCCTATTATATCACTTCCTGCATGAAAATATGCACTTTGGTTTCATACTGAGCTGGAAAGGATTAACTTCACTTTTTCCACTTTTTGCCATGTTACAGTTTATCCCAAAAAGGTTTGTGAAGTGAAGATTTAATCTGTTTTGGGGAATTCATATGACTGAAAGTCTTACTGGTGTCACACTGCCTGCTGGTGGGGTGCGGGATGCTCCTTGAGTGGATCCTGATGGTAGGTGAATCTCATTAAAATTAGCTTGCCATCCATCCTCAGGTGAAATAACCTGCTGTCAGAGCTCCAGGTGATGCTTACAGAGTAACGAGTGTTTGGAGGTAATGACAGCAACAGGAACTGGCTTTATCTTTCCAGTTTGCACCTGGATGACGTCGACTGACTTAATGTTAAAGACCAAAAGTTCATTTATTGTTTTGCTCCAAATTGGGAAAGAGCACATTGTTCCTGGTAATATCAGTGAGGGATCTAAACAGGTGTTCCAGATGCTAGAAACTGGGACAAACTGTTCTTGAAACACTGAAATGAACAAACTTTGTTTGCACTGTCTGATCGCAGACAGGAACTCAGAGAATTGCAACTGTTTTTAGATGTAAGGAGTTTCACATGACCTGTGTTGGTCTTTTTTGGGAAGACCAAAACTTTCCCTTAGAGATCTGCACAAGTGGAAGATGAAATAAGTCACAAGTGTGTGTGTGTGTGTGTGTGTGTAGCATGTTGCAGACATTAAGAGTACAGTTATTTTCACCTAAAGGTTGAACCGTTTAGTATCAGTGAAGATAGTGAGTTATTTTGATATAATTTCATGGTCATTCAGTCACTGTCAGGTGAATAATGTCAAGGTTTCGAGCTTCTAAGTTTTTTTTTTACAGAGAAATGCATATCTCATACCTTGCATCCGAGTTGTGAAATCTTCTGCCTCTGGATGATTTGGACCCCACTTTAGGATGTTTAACCCACTTTTATTTGCAAGGCCAACATCGGTTGACCTGCTTTCTTTCCACTGGACTGTGGACGGTTTCTTTTTCTTTTTTTAAACTGGAAATATGAACTAATGGGGGCTTTGATGTGTGAGTGTGTGTGTGTGAATTTTTTCCTATTACATATTAAGTGCAATTAAGAAAACCACAGCAAGCTGTTGCAGCATGCACAATGAAATATGAACAATGTAAAACCATTATTTCTTCTTACATCTTTTCTAAATTGTATGCAATGTAAAGATTTTAATTATCTCGGTATAATTTAACCTGTTTTCCTTTAGTTTATAACAGCTTATAACAGTCGGGCACTCCAGCTCACTGTACCAGCAATTGAAATTGAAATTTTGAGATAATAGCTTAAAATTTCTTTCTGACTGGCAATTTTATGTATTTATTTTTCAGAATCGAAAACAAGCTCCTATACGCTATGGAATCCGTAGATTGTACACAGCAAGAAATATAAAATTTAAAGATTTGGCTTTATCGGACAAATTTCGATTTAACTTCATTACCCACAAAGCATCACGATGACGTAGTAAACGGCAGACGCCAAGATGGTGCTTGAAAGCACTATGGTCTGGTAAGGAATTTGAATTATGTTGAAAATGAACACTTTTGAGTGCTAGCTTTGTTTAAATGAACCCGTGACATGAAAAGCTGAATGTGTTTCATTTTGGCGCTGTTTATATAAATTATTTTGGACGTGTTTTTCTCGCTTTGTTTAGGAATTACTGAAGTCCGTCTATTCCCTGAGTCACTGCACAACCTAACGTTAGCCAGCAGCTCAAAGCAATCATCGTTAGCTGAACAGCAGCTCTATAATCAGGACCTGGTGATGCTACTGCTTGTATATTTGTAGTTTAATTCATATCGTTTCTACCCAACTTGAATTTAATCTAGCTGTAATTTTTAGGTTGCTTCTGGCGGTAGATTAAAAGCAGTTTAATACGTTAGCATTAGCCCGCTAACAAATCAAAAGGCTACTGTCAATATGAAAACATACATTTCGCCAACGCAGTAAACAAAGATGAATGCTATCGCTTTCCTTAAATTAGACCTCTATCTTTTAACGTAACATAACTCATCCTTTGAGACAATAAAAGGCTTTCAAACATTGTTATTAAAACATTGTATTTATTTCTATATGAAGTCGGTAAAATCCTAATTTTACAAAGCCCAAATTGTAAACATTTATATAGTAGCTGCTATGTCCAAGAAGCTGCCTAAAAAAATTGTTTTTATTTTTTTAAGGCATTTTTTTTCTTTAAAGAATTTGAGTGGTTTTAGATTCGTTTATTTGCATAATCAACCTTTAAATGCCAATTTTGAGCAGGAAAAATCCTGATGATATTGTTTTTGGCCTCTTTTCACAAGCAATATTTATGTTATTTGACTTATATCATTCATTTACATTGAACAAGTGCTTTTATTTTAAATAATCTACTTTAAATTTCCTTAGTGTGGACAACAGTGAGTACATGCGAAATGGAGACTTTCTACCCACTCGGCTGCAGGCTCAGCAGGATGCTGTTAACATCGTATGTCACTCAAAGACTCGAAGCAACCCTGAAAACAACGTGGGCCTCATCTCCATGGCAAAGTAAGCAGCAATCCACTTCAGTATACTGAGGTTTAAGATGGGATAAAACCTATGATAACACAAGTGTTGTGATTCGCTCTGCAGCAACTGTGAGGTGCTGACCACGCTGACTCCGGATACGGGGAGGATACTGTCGAAGCTGCATGCTGTGCAGCCATGTGGAAACATTAGCTTCTGCACCGGTATCAGGGTAGCGCATGTGAGTTTGATTTTTATCATACAACAACTGCTATCTTGGTCTTATTGCTGGACACACAATATACAAGTAGAAATGCTTGAATGCAGTGACGTTTTAAGACATGTGGATGGATCATTAGTCCAGAGTTTGATTAAAAACTCTGGACTAATAGTGTTGTTGTTGCTCTCTGCAGCTTTAGTGAGGTCCTTTTAAATTAATGGATACAGTAGCAAATTTTGTTGTCTAAGTGAGGAGCTGCTGGGTTTGCAGAATTGCAGGATATTTTGAAGTAAAGGTTCTTAAGCCCAGTTAGTGTAGTAAATATTAGACAAAACAGAGCCTAGTGTTTCAAAAAAAGGAGGCCGATGTGGCCATTGCAGAAGAAGTTGTGGGTTCGACAGTGCAGGAAAGGCTAAGTTGTACTCTGTTATTTAATTTGTACGAGCAAGAAAGCAATCAGGAAGAACGGACGTAAGGAGTGAGCTCGACTGCAGTACAAGAGCTTGAGTTGGAAAGGCTTAAAGTAACAAGAAGATTGTGAGAGGAGCAAAACAAACAAACTGGGGATTTGTGTTAATCTACGTCGTAGCTACGTCATAATGACAAACCCTCCTGAAACCCTGATGTGCAGCTCCCTAGAAATTCCAGCCCACATACAATTATTGTGATTAGTCTGTTCAGCATTCTCGATTCCTCCTGTGCATTTATGGCTACTTTTGGTCACAGTCTTTAAACTTATTAGTGAGAGAATAACGATAATCGTCTCAATATAAGGAATAATAATCATAGCATCAGTATAAGTATCAGCAAAAACGTGGGCCACTTATTTAGGTTATGCCACAAACCTCACCTGACTCAGTGCCGAAGTCTGAATCCAGCATAAGTGTTACAGACTTGTGAAAAAGGGCAGCTTTCCACAGGTTTCCTTGAAATTCCATTTGATACTTTCAGTGTAGTTTGCAACTTGAAATTGTTCCCTAAATTTAACGAAAGCAATTTGGATATTTCAAAAGGTTTTTTGTGTGTTTGGTTGTTTTTTTTAAACACATTTGGCTGTATTGCTAAAAGTTCATGCAGTTGTTATCAGTGGTACTGATTGTATTGATGTTGGTAAATGCTATTCTGCCATTTCTGTTTTTATGTTCACACACAGAAAATCACACAGATGCATTTTATTTTGTATGTGTTTGTTTCTCTTTTTTAATGTTCTGTCTTTCTGTCTGTAGTTGGCACTGAAGCACAGACAGGGCAAAAACCACAAGATGCGAATAATTGCGTTTGTTGGCAGCCCAGTGTGTGACAACGAAAAAGAAGTAAGCCAAACTCTTATTATTAGTTATTATTATCTTATTAGGGTTCATGTATTGCTCAAAAAGTGTTGCTTTCCCCCACCTTGGTTAAGATAACCAGTGAGAAGACTTGCAGCTGTTTCAGACTAGCATCTGGAAAGCAATCAGTTTATATTACAGTTAACTGAGTTTACTCTGAAATCACTAGTTGGACAGCAGTATCGTATCTTAAGGTTACGAAAGACGTGACAAACTTGACATCAAACATTACTATCTCACAGCATGTAGGCCACAATCTCAATGTTACAGCATCGGTTGAATTGTTTACAAAGGAAATGTACCTCACAGAGCGATTCTGTTGCTTTAAAGAACATAAAGTCTTCAAATCTTGGCCTGGGAGCTGAAGCTGCTTCAACAGCTCCTTTAGTGTTGCTGTTTCCTTAAACAGACACCAGTTCGTTAGCTAAGTGGTCTCTGATGTCAATGTTGAACTTATAAATGTATGACGCGCCTGATAAATTAGTGTTTGTTTTAACTCAAGTGTTTCTCTCTTTTTGTAGTTGATCAAAATGGCAAAGCGTTTGAAGAAAGAAAAGGTCAATGTTGATGTCATTAACTTTGGAGAGGAGGTATTTTTATTTTTTTTAACCTTCTGAGCTTATAACCCACTCAAACATTTTAGTGTATATATTGTCGTCAGAACCACATGCACCTCTTAACTTCTGCTCTGCCCGCAGGCGATGAACACAGAGAAGCTGACAGCCTTCATCAACACGCTGAATGGCAAAGAGGGAGCAGGTTCCCATCTGGTCACAGTACCCCCGGGTCCCAGTCTTGCCGATGCCCTGCTGTCCTCACCCATTCTGGCAGGAGAGGGTGGTGCCATGTTGGGTCTGGGTGCCAGTGACTTTGAGTTTGGAGTAGATCCCAGTGCAGACCCTGAGCTGGCTTTGGTGAGTGAACACAGGACATAATTTTTGTTTTTGTTTGTATAGTTTGTGCAGTTTAATATAGCCACAACTTTTTGTGACTACATTAAAAGTTCTTCAAATGATCTATTTTAGTCTTTCTTCATTATATTTTCTGCCTTTTCTTTGCTTTTTTCTGCACAGTTGTAAGACTCAATGAGTTTCATTAGGAAGTAATTTTTGTTTTGTCTCCTGCTCTTCTCACTAGGCTCTGCGTGTGTCCATGGAGGAGCAGAGACAGCGACAGGAGGATGAAGCTCGCAGAGCCGCTGTTGCATCAGCTGCTGAAGCTGGCATTTCCTCCCCAGCTGCAGATGGTGAGAAAACATTGCATTCATAGATGCCCATTGCTGCCCGTTTTCCCTCAGTAACGAGTGATCTGAGTGTATACATGTAGCCGCTAAACTGGTGGACCTAAATCTTAACCACCACGTCCGTATATATACAAGCAGAAAGGGAGTGAGTGGGTCAGCGCTCGGAGAACAGAAGCTAAGCCAGCTTTAAACACACCATTTATTTTTAGGATAAAACACAGTCCGAACCCTCAAATACAGGCTAAAATCCCCGCTATACAATAAAAATAATGTTCGCAACCTGCTAAAAGCCCTGCCGGCAGGAATAACTATACACTAAAAACCAAAACTAAATGAATGTTTTTTGTATGGTAAAAACTTCCCCCCCCAGAGTCCTATATTCCCTCTTGTCCAGCCACACACATGCGGGCAAATGTTCCTTAGCTGGAAGAGACAGGAGAGGAACTCCTCTTCCGGGATGGTAAAACTCGCCAGCAGCAGACCAGGGAGGAGGCTCCTATCTCCGCCTGACGGTGCGCGGCCGTGCAGTCCAGCCACTCTCCGCACCTGCACACGGCCTCCCTCGCAGCCCTGCCCTGAAACAACAGACACGGGCCAGCAACGTTGTCGGCGCAGCCGCTGTTACCCTCCCCCGGCAAAGCTACGCCTAGCGCCCAACAGTGGGAAAGTGATACTCACAAATGCAGGCAGAGGCGTCCCCCTGCCCTACTGTGGATTTCACGCGTCGCCTCCCACTGTTGCTATTTCGTCCGTCTGGACTGGATCGCCGGGTTATGCTGGCCGATCGTCGGATATCTCGTGACGCCCCACAGGCAGGCCGGTCTTTCTTTGCAGGTGCTGGGCTGCACACGTTTTGTTTCGTGCTCCTCGCTTCTCGTGTGTTTCTCCTCTGCCGTCTTTGTGCTCACTATCTCCCTTAAGTCCGTTTGGCGGCTAATAGGCCACCTCGGGGAACGCCCCCACCTCACAGGTGCCTACAATTGTCCGCTTAATACACAGTGGAATAAAAATACTATACAACAACACCAAACACACACTATAAATATGGGGATAAAATCATGCAATAGGAATATCAATAAAAAAACATGCAATATCACTATTCCAATAAAAACATGCAAATAGAATCGACACTATGTACCAACACACAGTCTGATCCCAAAACAAAATATAAAAACACAATTTTCCACTGTGTGACATACATGCAACATATTCTTTTTTTGTCTGCTTCAGAGTCTGAGGATGCCTTGCTGAAGATGTCTGTTCCACATACAGACTCGGCCACACCTGCCCTACCAGACTTTAGCCGCATGACAGAGGATGAGCAGATCGCCTATGCTCTGCAGATGTCCATGCAGGGAGCAGGAGCAGGTTTACCTACATTTTTTTTCTTCTTCTTTTACTACAGCCAGTCAGCAAATTATTATAGAGGGTTCATAACTTATAAGTGCTCTGTATATGTTACGTGCATAATTTGTATTAACTTGTATCTAGAGTTCACCTGTAAATTTGGGGTGAAAAAATGACTACAGCGCTGGATTACTGTACGAAAATACCAGATTTGGCTTGTAGGTCATCAAGTCCCCAAAGAGTTTTAGTTAGATATTTATGAAGGTAGTGTTAATGTACAACTTGGGTATAACTTGAGCTAACTGAGGGGAAAAAATTCAAATTTTAGACCTTTTTAAAAATTGTTTTTTCCTATTAAAATTTTCAGGTTAAAACAACTACAATTACTTTCAGTCCCCTTTTTGTTATGCACAGACATCACTGCTTTCATTTGTTCTGCAGAGTTTGGTGCTGAGGACATGGATACAGGTGCTGACATCGACTCCAGTGAAGCTAAGGTGAATATAAGCAACTGTGGTTTGAAATCAAAGTTTTCATCACACTAAAAACAAAAACCTTATATATTTATTTATTTAAAAACCTCTGCTCAGGATGAAGAGGATTATGATGTTATGCAGGATCCGGAGTTCCTCCAGAGTGTTTTAGAAAACCTTCCTGGGGTCGACCCCAACAACGAGGCCATTCGTAATGCCATGGGCTCTCTAGCTTCCCAAACGGGCTCTAAACCCGACGCCAAGAAGGACGAGGAGAAAAAGAAATGAGCATAATGCACAGTGTTATAAATAAAGGATGAGAATTGCTCTGTGTGTGTTATTCACCATAGCGTCATTCTCCTCAGAACAGGAAACAGTTTGTTCACCTTTTGTTTATATAGCTGTGTAAACTCTAAACATTTGCCTTTTTTATGTACTCTTCTGATGTTAACCCTTCTGTGTTCAGGACTTGTGTTATCTTGATTTTTTGTTTGTGATGTAACTAAGTTACATGGTTACATGGACAGATTTCCTCAATAAATTTCCAGAATTCAAAAGTTTATTTACAGTTTTTAATGTCCTTGCACAAACTAGAAATAAATGTTTGCCTGATACTTGCATACACTTCCATTTAAAAATATAATTGAAATATTTATTTATTTATTGTACAACTTATTAGTACAGGTTGGATTCCCTTTTGCAGGAAACATTCCTCAGAGATTTTGGTCCATATCAAAATGATCACACAATTGCTGCAGACTTGTCAGCTTCACATCCATGATCTCAATTTTGCATCGGTGCATTGCCCTGCTGGAAGCAGTCATCAGAATGGAAATGTTGGGGTCATAAAGAAAATATCCTGCTCATCAGACCAGGCAACGTTTTTGAATCTGGGATTCAATTTTAGTGAACCTGTATGAATTGAAGCCTCAGTTTTTTTGCTCTTAGCGGACAGGAGTGGCGCCCAGTGTTGCTGCTGTTGCCCATCTGCTTTAAGCTTTGGCATGTTCTGTCTTTAGAGGTACTCTTCTACATATCTTAGTTCTAAGGATTGATCATTTCTGGTGTTGTTGCTTTCCTACAATCCCAAAGAAGTCTGGGCACTCTGACATCAACAAGACATTTTCACTCAGAACAGCGGCCCACTGTGAACCCTATGATTGTGCGGTAAATCTTAGTAGGTCAGCAGTTTCTGAAATAACATTACATTTCTTCCCCAACCTGATGGTGGGGTCGAACTCCAGCGGGTCGTCTTGAACCTGTCTACGTGCCTACATGCATTTAGCCGCTGCCATATGATTAGCTGATTCGATATTTACGATAACAATTACCTGAACAAGCACCTAATGGACTGATGATATTGTATGTTAAAATGCTGTGAATCACATCATAGTGCGTAAATAAGACGAAGTCGATAACAGAATTATTTTTTAGTTGTTTTCTTTTGTGGGAGATAAGATAGTAAAGGTACGTGGAGATAACAGAGGGCACTTTCTGACGTCTGAGTTTTATTTGGTGCAGTAGCTCACCGTCGCATTTGATGACGCAAACACGTATGAGACCAAGTGCAAAGTGAGGAACCAACTTCGCTAACTTGCAGGTAACATAATTAAATTACAGTTCTCGTGTCCTCTTTAATGCTAGCACACTTAACACGCAGCGGATAAGATGGATTAGAGCCCGCATACCCGAGTGCTGCACTGCTCCAGTTATTTGGACTGCTTAAGGAGAGTTGGTGTGTTTTCATTAGGAAGGCCAGCTAGCAGGTAACTGCTAAAGTAGCTAGCTGTTAGCAGTAGCACACACTTGTTGCAAAAACGACTGTGAAGTTTGACTTGATGGTGTGAGAATTGTGCAGTAGTTTCCGTGTTTTTCTTTTTTAAATGTGCTGTTCTGCACCGGTAGAGTCTCTCCTCTTGTAGTTTTGCTTTGACTAACCCCTTTTCATGCCAACTGTTTTCGATTTTAGTCAGCGTAAACCTGCAAGCTGTTATGGACAAAAACAGAAGTTTGCGTGTTTAAAGCAAGTAGAAATAGTATCCCAAATCTTTAACCTAAAGTTTAACGCTGTTTTGGATTTAATTGCTTTTTACTTTTGAGAGTCTGAAGTGAATAGGTACAGTCAAACCATGCATTCATATAAATGTGTAATTTGGACATGGTGATATTGAGATATGTGAAGTACAGGTAAGTGTTTATACGCGTTTTATTGTCTAGAAGAGCAAATAATTCATTCATTAAAAATTGCAATCAAATTTTGGTCAATACTTTAAGCGCATACACTTCGACCACTTCATTAGGTACATCCGTTCTACTGCTCTTTTATGCAAATAGCCATCTAGCCTCTCACGTGACAGCACTCAGCACATAGAGGCACGCGGACATGTTCGGTACGACCTGCTGAAATTCAAACTGAGCATCAGAATGAATTGATTTAATAAGTGACCTAGCATGTAGCGTGGTTGATGGTGTTAGACAGCATGCTCTGAGTATTTTAGATGATTTGATTTGCTAGGATTTTTCCACGCAACCATCTCTAGGGTTTACAGAGAATGTTCCAGAAAAGAGAACATAATCAGTGAGCAGCAGTTCTCTGTGTGAAAATGTCTTGTTGATGTCAGAGGTGAATGGCCAGACTGCTTTGAGCTGATAGGTAGGACACTAGAGGTGGGAATCACCATACATCCCACGATACCATATTATCACAATACTTAACGCACGATACGATATTATTGCAATTTTTTAAATATTTTGCGATATTCAGATTTGTACATAAAGGTAAACTTTATCAATATTCATTTTATCTAATATGAAAGTCTCACACTCAGTCTTTCTCTCATTTCAGTCAGTTTTATTGTTGACAAACTGAACGGTTTGTATTACAGTCTAGTCCAACTTAACTGAATGCAACCATATGGTACAATTATAGCTATTCTGAACTATGAAATTTATGAAAACTATGCAGCCCCTTCAGCAACTGAAGAATTTGAAAGTAAATTAAAGCAAAATATAATTTTACATTAAATAAAAAAGTATTAAACTTAATTAAAATAAAACATGTCTTAAATTAAAATAAGTAAACTGTCATATTTATATCGGCCAAAAAAAAGTTAAACACATTTGGACAGTGAAGGAATGTCAGGATTCTTGCTCAGAAAAAGGAGCTGATCAACATGCTCTGAAGTCAGAGCATGTTCCAGTCCACAAAAACTTTTTTGTAACAAAATATTGATTTCTGCTGTCCCTGTATCGATACATTATTAGCAAACAAAATATCACGATACTACATAGTATCGATTTTTCCCCCCCACCCCTATAGGACACAGTAACCAAAAATAACTGGTTAATACAACGAAGGTATGCGGAAGAGCATCTCTGAGTGCACAACAAACTGAACCTTGAAGCAGGTAGGCTACAGCAGCAGAAGACCACTCTGAGTGCTACCCTGTCTAAGACCAGGAAACTGAGGCTAAAATTGACCACCGAAAATGGACAACACATTAGAAAAATGCTGTCTGTGTCGATATTTAGTTGGTTAGGTCGGAATTTGAGCTAAACAACATGAAAGCATGGATCCATCCTGTCCTGTATCAGCAATTTAAGCTACTGGTAGTGGTTTAATGTTATGGGGGATATTTTCTTTATGCCCATCTGTTGATGGCTGCCTCCAGTAGGACCACCACTCAGATCATCTCAAACTGGTTATTGAGCAGGATGGGGAGTTCACTGTGCTCAAGTGACCTCCACAGCCAATCTCAATCTAAAGCAACTTTGGGATGTGGTGGAACAGGAGATTCACATCATGGATGTGCAGCTGACAAATCTGCAGCAAATGTGCAGATTTCTTTTCTTTTTTTCTTTTTTTTTACTTTACTGGTGAAACAAATATCACATATGGGATTTTTCTGGTGGCAGTGCATTTGGTGGCTGAGATTTAAAAACAATAAAAATTCCACAGAGTATTACACATAATCTGTAGCTTTTACATGGACATTATACAACCAACAGAAAGACCTTAGAGGCATCGAAGCACTGCCAACAACTAATTTCCTGTTTTTCTCCTTTTTTGGTAAAGAATTCTGTGTAAATTGTTTAAAAAGGGTACAGAAAACAAAGAAACCTTCAGTATTAAAAAAAACAAGCTGTATTAGTTTTTTCAGCTGAATGCTACGTTTAAATGCTTTGAACTTTCATTTTACCAGCATTATAGTTACAGTTTAATGTGGGTTAGGGTTATATGTGTAATCTAACAAACACTAAGGGATTCTCTTCTGATTAGTAAATATAGAACATGTAGTTTATTGGAATTTTATAAGGAGCAGCTTTATCAGTGTATATTAATATATATTCATCTTCATAAATGTGTAACCTTTGTAGTTTATCTGTGTCAGCTTGTCCTGACTAAATTAATCAGTTGTTCCAACTCATTTGTTGCTTTAATTGGTTTTGCGTGCAGTGGCAATGGGGGATATGAAGACCCCAGACTTTGATGATTTGCTGGCAGCGTTTGACATTCCTGACATTGATGCCAAAGAGGCCATTCAGTCCAGTCCAGACGAGGAACGGGATGAGGCCCAGACTAACGTGCATGGGAGAGAGAGTGGATCTCCTTCAAGGTTTGCCGACTCTCCTGCCCCTCAAAGTGAGCCTCCTGTGGTCAGTGTTATTGTTAAGAACACAGTGCGGTCAGAGTCTTTTGAAGAGGAAGAGAAGTCTGCCAGGGATAAAACAGACAATCCTTCAAGCAGTGCCTTAGCCTCTCCTGTGCACGTTAAGTTGGATGACATCACTTCACAGCTTTGTCCCAGACTCCCCTCTGAGTCTGCTGTGGAGGGTGAGACGACTAATGGCTTTGAGGAATCTCCCTCCAGCCGGCAGGGACAGTCTAGCACAGAAGCATGGCACGAGGCTTCACCTCTGAGGTCCACACTGAGTGAAAGTGACAGTGAAACCGATAAAAGGCCTGAGCCTGGATCTTCCCAGCATGCGGTTGATGTTATGAACAGTTTAAGGCCCCTTCTCCACCTCAAGTCGCCAACCACTGGTGTTCCCACCCCATTGTCTCCTCCTTCCCCAGCCTCTGTCAGTGATCACCTTTCTCTTCACTCCCCTCAGCAGGATGAAACCTGTCTCAGAGATAATACACTATCATCACCGTCACTACAAAATGACAGCGTTGAAACTGGAATCAAGCATGTTATGCACACAGATGAAGATGACTCAGAACCAGAGCTGGTGATCCAGGAGAGCCCAGAATCTGTAATCGCCCCACCTCCTAAGTTTAAATACAGAGCAAAATTACCACCTACTTTTCTTGGGTCTCCTGAAACGAGACCTTCTGATCCTCCTAAGCTCACTTTTTCCAGAAAACCAAAACCCCAACACGAGGAGGATGGGCTGCCTACCACACCAAGCTCTCCACCCTCACCTAAAAGTTCCCAGGACCGCCTCCCACATGTTAGCACCAGCTCTGCATCAGTCCAAGAGGAGAAATACCCAGAACATGTGATTGATGAGAGGGAGTCGCCTGAGAGCCCACCACCCAGTGAGACAGGGT